AGTATTTCCAGGTTTCCAGTTTTTCAACGAGTCACAAAATACTATTTTAAAAGAGAGAGAGCATGTAAAAATATTGGGTGTTTATTCATTATATAATTTGGGTGCCATGTTTTCACTTCAGTAATAGCTGTTGCCTGTCACCTATTAAGAGGGGAGAAGTATTACCTAGCAAATTCAAACTGCAGAAAAGACCTAGAGAGGGTGCTACATTTCCATGGCCATATAAAATGCTGTATTTACTCAAATCTAGTGTGCCATCAAATCTAATGTGCACCTCAATTTTCAAGACCCTGAAACCAAAAAGGAATTTGCTAGTGGGTGTAATGCACAACAGAAAGAGAATGAAAAGAAAGTACAAGGGGAGAAAGGAGTCTTGAAAGAATAGGCAGAGAGAGGGAAAGGAGGTACAAGAATGAAAGGAAGACAGAAAAGACAGAGAGAAGGGAGGGTGGAAGAGAGAGAGAAAGAAGGAAAGGAGCTCTGTGGCAGAGTAGCTAAATCCAGCTCCACTGAGGGGGAAGCCCCAACAAGCCAGGGCAAAGGAGGCAATTTTCACCGTCTTCTCCTCTGCTTTGGGACCTGTGGCAAGCTGCTAGCAAGGAAGCTGGTCCTGGCAAGGTGGCAGCTTTGGCAAGCCAAAGAGGAAGATATCGTCTATTCTCCGCAGGCCCCAGGTACTTTTGCCAGCCCCTCACTGCAGACTCCACTTGTGCCACATGTAATGCTTTCGCTGCATGCCCCGCTCACATCATTTACCATAGATCCCAGGAGCCAAAGAGACTCCTCCTTTGCCACTGTCATGGCCACCTTTACCTCTTCCCCCCTTGGCTCCTGGGGCCTGCAGCAAGCAGTTGGCAGGGGAGCCAGCCCTGCAAGGCGAAAGCTCTGGCAAGCCAAGTAGATTGTGGATTGAAGTAAGCAGGGAGGCCATTACCGTTTTACGGAAACCGAATGTGCATCCCAATTTTGGGCCAAAAAAGGTGTGTGTTTTGCATAAATATGATATTAACTATTTTTACAAAACCACCTAAATTCTGACATTGCAGGTTAGTCTATAGAACAGTTATGGGCAAACACAGGCCCATGGGCTGGATGCGGCCCCTTGGGGTCATTCCTCCAGCCCCGGCCCCTGGAGCTGGATGCTTTTAAACTTGTGTCTTATGTTTAATTTTCTTTTTGTATATTTGAATATGTATTCTGTAGAAATATGTTTTAATATGGGTGTTTTAGATAATGTTTTTAGATTATTCTATTTTAGTGATGTTGTATCCTGCCTCAAGCCATGAGGACAGGAAGGTAAGAAATACAATTATTATTATTATTATTATTATTATTAATCTGACACAAAAGCACAGTATGTCATAGCAAACGAGATATATATGCTGGATTTCGTATCACAAAATCACAAGTCGAACACTTTCCAAGTGTCTAGTACTATGTGATTATTTTCAAATGACGTGCACAGATCCAAGTAAGGTGGCCTTTTGCAGTTAACAGATCATGATTTTGTCAATGTTTATTGTTTCCAAATGCTAGCTGAGATCTTTTGGCACAGCACCCAGTGTGCCAATTACTACTGGGACCACCTGTACTGGTTTATCCCAGAGCCTTTGAAGTTCGATTTTGAGGTCCTGATAACGGCTGAGTTTTTCCTGTTGTTTTTCCTCAATGCGAATGTCACCTGGTATGGCGAAATCAATAATCCAAACTTTTTTTCTTCTCTACAATTGTAATGTCTGGTGTATTGTGTTCCAAACAGTCTGGATTCAAAAGTCCTACAGTATTTTTGCATGTTCATTTTCCACTACCTTTGCAGGTTTATGATCCCACCAGTTCTTTACTACTGGCAGGTGGTACTTGTGACATAAGTTCCAATGAATCATTTGGGTCACAGAGTTGTGCCTCTGTTTGTAGTCTGTCTGTGTGATTTTCTTGCAGCAGCTGAGGATATTATCAATGGTTTCATCAGCTTACTTGCACAGTTTGCATTTTGGGTCACTTTTCAATCCTGGCCTTAATTGAATTTGTTCTGATGGCTTGTTCTTGGGCTGCAAGAATCAGGCCTTCTCTCTCCTTCTTCAGTGTTCCATTCATGAGCCATAGCCAGGTCTTCTCCTTATCAAATTTCATTCAATTTTGTCAAGGAACTGCCCATGCAATGCTTTGTTGTTCCAGCTGTCAGTTCTGGTTTGTAGAGCAGTGTTTTTGTACTGATTCTTTGTCTGCTGTGCTTATTATTATTATTATTATTATTATTATTATTATTATTATTATTATTATTATGAAACAGACACTTATTATTCAGTTTGAAGCTAGCTCAAAGGCAGGGTGTCCATAAAATGGACACTCCAATCCATGATGCAACACCCATCAAGAGTGATAAAATACTTTTAAAATGTTCCTAGGAAAATCTGAGTTCTGTAAAAAAAAATGTGTTGCAGCAGATGCCAGTATATCCTTAATCTAGGATGAAACCGGCTCCACAAAATGAGGAGCGACTGTAGATAGCCAACGCTGCTGAAGTACAATAAAGGATGCAGAATGGTCCAGTGGCATTACTAGGCAGCAAGGGGTTAATTGATCCTTCGGAAGGTAACTGGTTGCCTCTATTCCATGTTTAATGTAATCACCTGCCTGGCCTCAAACCAGTTTTAGGCTTGTCAATCTAATCACGTCACAGTGAAACTGGTTCCTTTTAATTCACTTCCAAACTGGATTATAGTGTCTGAGTAGAATTGCCCTGTGTCTCCTGTCTAATAGTCTGTTCATGCCATTAAAAAGCCTGACCTGTAACAAAAGCTCAGAGCATGTCAGCAAAAATGTCTCAAAATTGTTTGGGTTATTTGTAGTTTAATTTTACCTTCATGAACTTATAGGACTTCCAATGCAATAGCCTTTACCATAGCAGCTGATCCTCCAGATGTAAAGCGAATGCATACCACATGTCTGGAAACACAGCTACTTTGCTATGAAGAAGCCAGTGGTTCTGTTGATTGCAAAACATTCTTCTGAAGCAGATTAAAGGTTTGTTCCTAGTAGTATGTTTCTAATAGTGCCCATATAAATAGCCTGAGGAAATCCTTGAATCAGACATCAAGTCAAGAGCTTTCCCACAGTTTAAGTCCCCAGGTTTTGGATTCGGAAGTATAGAACCTTTAAATATGGAGGTTAAATGAAATGACATGGCTAAGAACTATTGATATTGTCACCATGATTTCATCTAGCCTTTTGGGGGGAAAGGCAAGTTGTTGCTAATAATACACAAACTAATTATTTGGGAGGCGTGTGTGAAAGAACTTATCCTTTTCTCAACTCTGAACATTCAATTTAACTGGGTAACAGTAAATTAAAGCATGACTGAGAAAACTCTCTCCATATCATGAATATTTGTATAAAGTTTCACGACTTTGCTGTATGTAAGTTGTATCCTGTAATTTAAGGCTAGTGAATGGCCCAAAGTCACCTTCGTAGTATTCTCGCAATATGTTAAAATCAACAGCAGCATGAGGAATAACAACAGCAACAACAATAATGGATTCTAAGGAAAGGAGGAAACAATGGTTCTAGGCATTTTAGGTAAGGAAGACTCTGAACATATATACTCTACACAGTTATAAAAATTTCATCTCACCTAAATTGTCATGTAGACGTGCTAGGAATCTTCTGTTGTAGTGAGGAATTATTTGCTAGAAAGTGCTAGTGCTATACTTCAAAAGTGTGGACCAAAGATCTCTAGTATTTATCACCAAACTACAAATCCCAGAATTCCATAGGATGACAGTTAAAGAAGTATTACTACCATAACTGTGTAGCATAAATATGCTCTCTGAAATTGCTCCTTATTTCTTCACATAGTTGCTTGCCCTAGAAAGTAGACCTTTTTTGTATCAATAACATTATCAAATTGGAGCCATGTTGGCACAGTGAGTTAAACCCTTGTGCCAGCTGAATTGCTGACCCAGGGTGAGCTCCCATCTGTCAGTTCCAGCTTCCCATTCAGGAACAAGAGAGAAGCCTCCCACAGGATTGTAACATATCCAGGCAACATCTCTGCAGATGGCCAATTCTCTCACACCAGCAGAAGTGACGTGCAGTTTCTCAAGTCGCTTCTGACTTGATAAAAATTACCAATTTAAACAAATGTTTGTGCTCTTAAACATCATCACGAACTGCTGCTTAAAATAATGATTTAGCAAGCAACCTGTCTATAAATGAGTAGTATTTCCACTTTCTCATCTCATACTGAATATTAGCAGGCTAAGATTCTGATATCTAACTGTTTTCATTCAAAGTATATCATTACACCATTAAGCCTTATATGAGTCTATGAATTCATAAAAACAAACTGCAACAAATACAAAAGAAATTAATTGAGGTTGCTGGGAGAACTAGCATCCCAAGTGTCATTTACACAGCACTTATCAATAAACTTTTCAAACAGCTACATACATTGATATTTAACAAAAATAAAATTCGGTTCTCTATTCCAAATCATTGTTATGAAATATACACCATCTACCACAGTTTCCTGCTTTTAGCTGTCTCTTCTAGCAGAAGTAACACGTGCTTTGAGACTTAAAACCTATTTCAAAAAATCATAGGGATTTAACTGGACTTCATTGGGGACAAGCAGGTTATTTATATTCATTAAAAGTTGGCAAACCCAGTTGTCCCAACCAGGAGTCCAGACATAAAGACTCCACTTACGACGGGTTCTGTTCTGTGCTGTCTTTAAAGTGACTTTGAAATGAAATTATCTGTATACATCTGAAGAATACAGAGATTTGTTAAAAGAATATATTAATAATCTATCCGTAAATGCTTATGTTTGTGTTTGGCTTATGTTTTTAGCTAACAAGATTAAATCAAATCCATGTATAAGAAATCTCCTCCCCCCAAAAAACCTTATCAACATTAAGAAAAATATACAGTCATTAGTATATGTCTCAATATAACGTAGACATGACATCACAACACAGAAATATTATTTTTATCCTTACCATTTGAGACTGGCTTCGAGGACAGCCATTGATATCTTCAACTTTTTCATTTGCTGAAGGAAAACAGTGAGAATGAAAAAGGGTACTCAAGACCAGAAAAGAGAAAGTAAACAGGCACACACATGAGTATTTTGTAGAGACCAAAACTTAAGTGTGCTAAAAGCTCACACACTCTCTTGCTAGCAGCAGTTGCTTCCCATGCACAAATCAAGCAAAGGGGCAGTGCAAAGGAGGTTGCTACTAATTCTTCAGCCTCTGCCAAATGACTGCTGACATGAAATCTTCCACAATTGTCTTTGTGGGATCAGGATACAATTTCAAGGCATCACAGAAAGTATAAACCACTCCAGCTAATAAAATGCACACATTGGAGACATATGGCTTAATGAAGCATTCATATCAGACAATGCCAAATAAGTGAAATATAGTTATCTGGTCACTGAAAGAATGAATGGTGAAGCAGACAGTTAAAAACTACACTAGGTTTTTGTTGTTCTTGCTAAACTAAGTAATGGGAAGGAAAAATACACACACACATTTCTGGAGAATTTCAGAGGCCGAATTGGGTCTCTATGTTCAGTGCCCATCTCGCTATTAAAGTTTGCTCCAGGATGAAAAATGCAATAGAACAGGCAGATTCTAGAGCTTACCAATAATTTGAATGATGTCTGCTAGCAGAACTCCATCTGCAATGTCCTGTTGCAAGTCCTTGATGAGCCGTTTGTGGCCAGATTTTGCTAGATAGTGATTAGCCCAGTCAGTGTATATCTGTAGAACAGAGGGAGAAAGAGAGACGATAAAAATTCTGAAGACAAATGTTGGCTGATACATAAGCAGAGCTCTGAAGTACATTCCAATTTAAGGAGTCACAGCAAAAAAAAACTTTAAACATTTTTAAAGTCTTTTCCTGTGCCACATTTTTTTATTTGAGCCTTCAATGAATCATTTTATTGCACAATGAAACATCACAGTCACAGCCACCAAAGCGAAAGCCCCTATAAGACTGCCAAGAAAATTGCTGTCAAAAGTCAGTTTCATTTTAATCTGGTTCACAGAAATAGGCTTAGATTGAAAACTATGCTGTTTTAAGCATCCTATATGACATTCAGTCTTCTAGGTGGCTTTTATTTTAAGTTTACTTAATTTTTTAAAAAAGCTTCCTAGTATCTTCCTACAGTTCTGAGGTGTGACAGATCCAATAAAGAAAAACACACATTTCTAAATTTTTTCCAGCACTTTCTATGAAAACAAGCACTTCACTTCAACTTACAAGTTATGTGCACATCAAGAGAACATCTATTTGGCAGTTGCTTGTGATTCCTAGAAGGCAATTTAGCAGTAATAGCACGTGCATGTCAAAAAGACAGTTACCTTTTGACTTATTCTTTCCTTCAGTCTCCAAACAAACAAAAGAAAAAGCACAGTGCATGCATGTGCCCCAGAATCACTGAAAAAATGGGTGAACAAGATAAGGTGGGTAAGGGCTGAAGATCTTTACGTGTATGAATTATAACTGACATTATTGCACTATGGTCTATTAGCATATTGGCATAATAATCCTGTTCTCTTTCAGCCTCATCAGACAGGTCGCTTTGCCCATCATATGCTGCTTCACCTCCCTTTCTGGCACAGAGCCCTTCACACAAGGTAAAGGGATTTTGACTGGGCTCCATGCCAAAAAGGGAGGTGAAGTAGTGCCTGCCGCCACCATAGCAATATGAGAACCTTCCCATGTTGTCTTCCTTTCAATGGGGGGAAGCCTGATGGCAATGCTTCTTCCCCCCCCCCCCCGCCCCCCGCCATGAAATGAGGAGGAAGACAAGGTGGGTGATGCAGGGTGTGAAGTGACAGCTTCTCCATACCCCGCACCAGGAGCCCATGGATTTGCCCCAATGTGGGAAGAATCCTTGGGCCTTTCTGACAAGGTCCTTTGAAAATGGGAACACATGAGATATGCCCTTCTTACTATTTGATGGTTCCTCTAATAGAGCCCTATTAACAAAAATTGTGCTATCTACTTACTGCCCTACCTTGTAGACTACCCATGCTTTGTCCTTCCTAGGGTACACACCTGATTTTTTAAACCAGAAGAACTGTGAGATTTTGAACTTTGGCTCATAATAATAATAATAATAATAATAATAATAATAATAATAATCTTTATTTATTACCCCGCCACCATCTCCCCAATGGGGACTCAGAGCGGCTTACATGAGGCCAAGCCCAAATGACAATTGCAATAAAGAAAAACCAAAAACACAAACCGAAAACGCGAACAATAAACAATAACATCATAGTTACATAAAACATATGAATATATAACAATATATAAAAATGCACAGACACAATACACTATTTCGTGTTTTTGTTAGTACACAATTGTACAGTTGCATGATACTACTTTTCATAATTTTTGTGTATTCGTTCATCGCCCCATACTTGGTATCATAATAAATATGGATGACAATATACTATAAAACCCAGGGGGGTTGTGTATTTAGCAGTACCAAAACTAGTTTTGGTGTCCAGGTGCCACAGCCATAGCACTCCAAGGATTCCAATTGCAATGTTGATCAATTTGAATCCAGCATACCACATCATAATTAAAGGTATGCATCCTCATTCACAAGTCAACAACTAGTTAACAAATCAACACGGTTACTATCTGCACAATTGTAGCAGAACACACGAAGTGATAGCTTTTCCACAAACTTCTCTGAAGTATATCCCACATGAAAGCAATGATTATGCAACTAACAAAACGTTGGTCTGGGGACAGACATATATAAAGAGAACATTACTTCAAGTGTAAAGATCACAAGCCATTTAGGGCTTTGTATGTAATCACAAGTGAAATAAAACCAGAAGTGTATTGGCAGCCATTGGAATTCCTTGGAAATTATATGTTGATTACATGATACTCCAATCAACAACTCAGCTAGTGCCCACTGCACCAACTGTAGTTTCTGTATTATCCGTAAAGGCAGCCCCAAGTTCAGTGCATTAGAGTAGCCCAAACAAGATGTTATGAGCATATTAACTACTATGACTAGAGTATTATATTAAACCAACCTTTTAAAATGTTTTTATCTACCCCTGTTTTTACATAGTTTTCTTTTTATTCCCTCAGCCACCTTTTGGGAAAGGGCAAAGTTTTAAATAAGAAATATCCAACAGCATAAAACAATCCAATATAATATATATTACTACCACCAATATCAGTGGATGTATGATTCTTTACACCAGTTGATTGCATTCACAAGCAGGAGGGTGCTATTGCACTCATGTACGGCTTGTAGATATCAAGTTGACTAATGAAAGAACATGATATCAAATTAGGTAATCCGATCCAGATGGATTTTATGTTTGTTGTGACTTTACTGAAAGTGTGAAGCTTGTACAAATAACCCTATTCCAGAGCTATTGAAAATAAAGTAATAAAGGTGTGATTGTGAGTGTAGTTGAGATTTTATTTGTTGTTCACAACTCTTTGAGTAACTGTATTTCTAATTCACTGTATGCAAGCATTCCAGCTACTTGCTCTGGTTAGACAGTTTCATTGGTCCTGTCACCTATGTTTAAAAGTGCTGAAAGCCCTCACAGGACTGTGAAAATAACACATACACAGAGGTCACATTAGTACTGCTTATATTCTCGAAATATACTGTGTTGACAGTTAAGAGCAAAGATGTTAACAGCGGAAATAAGATGGCAGCTTAGGTGGGAGATAGATTGAACCAGAGATGACAACTAGAAACAAGAAAGAAATATTGCTGTCTGATGTGAACACATAGCTGTGTTAGTACATAGCCTAGGTTTTAAAACATCTCACCACTTTAAAGCTCAGCAAATGCATTAATAAGACAATGTTTTTGAACTAGACTCCACACCATCATATGTTGAGAAGTAAACAAATTAGCACTACATCTTGCATGGCTATTCACAGAAGCATTAGTCATCTGCACTTCTTTCTAATGATATCCTCAGAAGCCAGAATTTCTAAGCTCAAAAAAACAATCAAACAAACAAAACAGAAGGAGCACAGGGACATCAATGGTGTGATTGCTCCTTTACTACTTTATTTTGAAAGAAATTCCTTATAAAGCAACACATAAATAAACACACTATCCACTCTCACAGCTAGCTTTCTGATGAAATGGTGGTGGGGGGGGGGGTAAAGTCCCCTGTGTGATAAGGTTGAATGATCCGGCACCTCCAGAATAAATTCATCATGAGGAAGCACAGGAGAGGGTTTGGAGCTCAATGCTATAGCATACCCTTTGAATGTAAAATGCATCTATTCACACACTGGCAAATAAAATTGGGAATTACACCTACCTCAAATCCTGAAAATATAAATGGACCAATACGCCAACTCACAGTAAGGCAGGTTCTAGTTCCTATGTTCAACCAAAATTTAAATATTTGAATTCCCAGTAATTTCTATTAATTTATCACACAACTCTGTGATCTAATTACTCTCACTTCTGTTTGTCTTTTTACTTCACTTGCTAGTACATACATGACATTTCTAAAGTATTTATAATACAGAGGTATTTGCAATTTAAATAAGCACCTGCTTAAAGTTCTACATGCCTCATATACATTCTTCTAATGTTTCACTGCTGACTCCCATTCCCCATGTCATTTGCATTCCAGATGTGGTATTGGTTTAATCTGTATTTTCCATCACAGGCTTCTATTTTAAAATAGAACTATCAGCTACAACAGCTGATAATTATCTAATGCTCCTAAGCTACGCAGTTTTATATTTCAATTTCCAATTATACCGTAGGAAGTAATGGGCCAAGCCAAAGTGAGAACATGGCTTTGTGCATTCTTCCAGTTAGTTCCTTTACTATTCTATTTTGAAAGAAATTCCTTACAAACCAACACATAAATAAACTCACTGTTCACTCCCACAGCCAGCATGCAAATGACAAAGATGATGTTTCAGATAAAAGGGTGTGAGTCAGCCCTTTATTTAAAAGGCATCTATTTTGATTGGGTGCCAATTATTGTGAGAAGCTGTGCCTCATCAGTTAAAGTGGAAAGGCATCCTCATTGGCAAAACATGTTTTCTTGTTTATTTGTTCATTCAGTTTTCAATTATCATTTCTGTTAGAAAATTTACATTGATAGATAAGCAACATGGAAGGTTACATTTAAGTGAAACACATGGAAAGTGTTAGTCACTGCCAACTATATTCACGGAGTCATAACTGAACTTTGCTAATGCTTCTTGGTAATCAGATTCTGGAATGAACTGTTGACTTACTCATTTCCTTAAAGTGTTCCCCCCTTAACTTGCTGTCCTTTATGAAACAACATTCAGCGCAAATTACTTACACCATCGCCAGGAAGCCAGAGTTATCTGAGCCCTAACAGAATAATCTCAACAAGATGACAGCATAAAAGAATAAATCCTGCATTTGTGTGGTCCCAGAGTGTATGAGAAGTAGACCATAACTACTTGTAATATGAAACATTAGACAGGAGAGGGCAATTTAAGCAAGGAAGTAGCTTCCTCTGGTATTATCATTTCAAAAATTCTTGAACTATTTGTAATTCTACTTAAGAAAAGCAAAGGAAATTATACAATATATGATGACCAAACAAAGATATAAATTTCACACATAACTACAATTGGAAAAGATCTGAAATAACTCACTTTGGTGGGGGTGGAGGGGATTTAATATAGTTGCAGGATAGCAAATAATTTAGCTGTATCATCCTATTTGTATAATAAGATCTTCTGTGAAATCAAA